ATACGAAAAATGGTCCGAGCGTAGGGTGGAGTACTTCGTCAACACTGGCTGCCAACAACGTTGCCTCCCCGTCAGTCTCGATACGAGACTCGGATGGGAAAATATCTCAGTTTACAGTCAAAGGACAGTAGAGTGTGATTTTCTGATGACGGAAGATTTCAAGGGTGAACTTTCGTTGCTTGCTAGCAATGCCGTCAATGCGTCGAGCGCGCGCAGCCGGCCGACATGCGATCTGACTCGTCATCTTGTCAAACCCTGCATTATTTGACGTAGGCACCCTGATGAATAATTGAAAACGTGAGCCAATGTGGACGGCGAAGATCAAATTCTGGCCGACCTGGCTTTCGGTTACCGGGAGAGGATCATACTGATTTGCAAAGCTGTGGATTCTATGGTCGGCAAAACCAAAAACAATGAGTCATTAGTGCCCCACTTTATAATTACACAGGTCTCAAACAGAGGAATCGGCTGGGCAGGGGTGGTTCATGTCCAGGCCTAAACGAATATAAGGTATGAGTTGCTAGGGGCATGGGGCAAGACCGTACATAAATCAATCTCGCCCCTGTGGTCACGGAGAACTGTTCTACCTAAGTACTATTATGCATACCGCTGTTCAATGCGATAGCGTAATAGCTGATGACTTGTGGTCGAATGGGCCCGTTGTAGAAATGGACAGGGAAACTGCAACATCCCGAGTGCAGTAAAGCAAACCCGCTGTACTCCGCTTGGTGTTATGATGCATTTCCATATCGCCTTGCGATTGGCGCATGTTTGAGTCATCAAAATAGGCGTTCTGCAACAAGGCTCTTAGAAGAGGACGAACGATCAACGCCACCAACGAAAACTGACACAAACAGCCTCACGAAAGGTATGTCCGTGAGGCTTGATTTGCAGTCCAACTTATCACAATCTTTTAAGGCACGGTCAATCAGGCAATGAACCCTGTGGACCTGCAGACACGGTATTCGACGTTCCTTCTTCCTGGTCGACGGAGCATGTGCTACGAACCCAGAACTGCAGCCCACCGACTCCCAGACAATCGGGCAAGACTAATTTCAGACAGGGTAGGGAAGACTAGCGTAGCAAGCTAACTACAACACCAGCAACCATCCACTAACGACGTTGAAACAGTGTCACCCAGAAGATATCTTCGCCCTGCCCGATTAAGTATTCCTGGCTGAAGACGCCTTAATAAATGGGTCACAATTCGTGGTTCATGCTTAGAGGAAAAACAAATAGAATCGAGCACAGGGCCTTCGACTGAATGCAACACCTCAGGAAGCGCAAAGGCCGTCCTTGTCTGGTCTGTCGAAAGTGGTGTGGTCGACAAGACAAAGATTCCCAATCAAAAGTCAGGGAAGACGCAGTATGTGCGTGCGTGTGGACTGTGATGCGGAGTTTAACCAGGTAAGTGCATACTCACCGGCCCCTTACATGAATTGCAACTACATTCACCCACTCCCTAATCTCTTTTTGACTCCCTGGATTCAAATTGAAGAAAAGGTCCGAACGAATGATTCGGAAAAAAATGGTCTACGGTGAACTTTACTACACTACGGTAGTGCAAAATTCAAGTTCGCAGTCTGTTGTCCCTTATGTTAAAGATGCCTCACGAGTGGTGAAATGGCCTAGAAAAGGCTCCACGGGAAACATTTCGAAATTAAAACGATGAGAAGGCGCACACTTACCGCGTGGCACGGTGACGGAAGGCGACTAGTACGAAAACATCGCAGAGCAAACCTCGGCCAGTTTAGCAGCCAATCCTGTCGCAGTGACTCATTCTTGCGCGTGCGGGTTAGGCGACTCGTGCGCGAAGCACCAATCAGCCGTGGATAACAAAGCGACATGCACGCTGCTGGCAACTGCAGGCCTGATTGGGCGACAGCCATACCCCCGCCCCACCCCTGGGCCTGTCCGACTCACGCAAGCGCCTCGGCGGTGGTAGAGGGAGACGCTAAGTTCCGCATACCGCCGCCCTCGTCGTGGTGACATAGGAGGCCTTCGCTAAACGCTGGCGCAGTTTTAGGGCGTGGCGGCTCCTGTCGATCCCAACACGCCCGTTGGGCTCACGTAAAACCTATATGGCGCAAGGGTGACGTTATTTTGCCTACTTTTAGTTAAAAATCAGGCAGGCGTACCTTTGGGAACCGTCGAGGCAGTTTTCTTGCGCAGAACTCTTGTCACTGGTTCGTGTGACACACCACCCTGTAGGCCACCAGCAGGTAGAGTACAGGGTTCAAGTCAGTGTTGTTCTTTCAAGTTGGTACACCTTGATTTTCATAAACTAGGTCCGGTCAACAGAGGTGAGCTAGCCGTGTGCTAGCACGCATGGGCGTGGACTTCATACCAGGTCATCCACCGATCCAAGCCTCCACCAGCTATCCCACCCCAGTCTTCCGATCATCATTAGGTAGATGTGCGAAGAACTAGTGAGGTAGATTCGTCGAAAGTCACCCGTACCATGATAAAATTCACGTCTGAGTCACTTCAAGGTGGCAGTAACCCACCTACCAGTCATGGCGTTGATTTTATATGTGCACATAAAATAGGTTAACAAGAAGTGCTAAGTTTTGTAGTTGGTCATACTTGTAGAACTGGAAAATCTTGCAACCGTTAGCCCAAAAGACCATACTCTTATTTGCCCACTAAAAATGAAATGGTCTAACTGGCCCCAATGCCTGCAGGTTTGCAAGCATGTGTGACCTACGGAAACTAGATCCCCCCCCCTTCTGGTTTGGTTTATCATTCTTTTATAGCCAAAACTACTTCTGGGCGCAGAAACCCCTCTCGGAATCCGATGTCACAACATTTCACACCCTCTAGCCTGAGGTCCGTCTGGACGGCTATTTGGAGGGATGACAGTCTGGGCGAGTTCACGCTCGGGTGTGTAGCCAAACCATCTGAAGGGGGCTGGGGTGGGGAGGGCGTCGGAGACGCCTCCCACGGGCAACGAAGTTTCTCGTCGCAAGAATGCCCCATCAGCCACAGTCAGGAAAATTTCCGGAGGTAAATTTTGACCAACTCCTGGTGCCGTTGCAGAGTCCTCTCTTTTTACAGCCATAAACCAAGGAACCGTTGACCCAGATTTTGGTTTTTTGGAGGGGAGGGAGACTGAACATGCTGCGCGTGCAAGGTGCACGCAGTATGCTATTTCGCCTGGACAGGGTCAGGCTTTTCGCTATTTCCCTCCCACACAGAAGGGGACGGGGGACATTTCGTGTGGCGTGAAGTCGCCTAGTGGGGTGTGTAATGGCTGGCAATGGGGGGTTGGCTTTTTCCACGAAAGTTTCCAAACCGTGCGCTGCAACCGACATTAACACCACCTATCTAACAAATACTGTGCCTGTCGAAGTAGTTTTCTGTAGTCTTTCTTCTAATCAGATAAGTACTAACGTTAGACAGTGAAAGATTGATCTAGGTCGGACTTATGCGCTGGTTCTGTAACTTACCTCTGGTATCCGTTCACGGAGAGCGAGCCCTGTCAACTGGTTAGAAAATGACTGACCGTTTAATGGCATTTCCGAGGTCATGTGCTGGCCTCTCCTTGATTGCTAATCACCAGAGACCGAACATGTGGTGACTGATTAGTCTTTGAGGTCCTCCGGTAGGGCGGCCTCCGCTTATGAACAAATCGAGCGTTGATTTAGCACTCCTCAGTGTCCGTCTCAGACTTCAGCTCCTACAACTCGTTAGTCAACTCGGGTTGCTCTCTGATGTTCCTACAAGCTGTCTGATTGCTACTCGCCTGTATTATGTGGACCTAAGAGGTGTTCTTCGTCCTTTTGATGGTGAAAAGTGTTGAAGCTCTGGGAACTTTCGCCAATAGTGATCTGGTAGACGCCTGTTTCCCTAACTGCATGGACGGAGATGAAAGCAGTTGTCGAGCAAGTAGTTTGCCCTGTTTATTAAAACGAAGCCTGGCACGTGATTAACCGCTCATTGTCCGATCACGTTACAGTTAGCAAGCTTGATAAGAACGAACAGGTCGTTGCACAGAGGACCAGAGCCAACCTGGAAGATGCCTGGAATCCGACATTCGAATTTATGCTCCTGCGCCTCCTATGCGTCAAGGTCGATTATACAGTTGGATCGGGGTTTGAAGGAGGCAGAAAGCGAGCTTTCTCCTGCCCTGTGATGACTGAAGAATTAGGTGTGCAAGATATGTGTCATTGGAGAACTTTTCAGAGGGGGTGCAGGAATTTCGAATCCTAAAGAGTCTTGAAGTCAGTGGATGGGTTGGTGTAAGGGGGGGGGGAGAGGGGGGATTGACAAATTTGACCTTTATTTATACTAGTATGTAAGATCTTCCATGTGTGCAAAGTAGAAAAGGTCTACTACGTAGATGAAATTTTTGTAGAGGTGCGCTCACCGAGCATTTTTACGGAACTCACTCACCCCGTAGTGCCTCGGGGCTCTCTCTCGAGCACAACCAGCGGCCGCACAGCGACACATGATATAGGCAAAATGACTGGGTATGATTGGCTGACGACGGCTAATGAGCCAGACATGGCCACTCCCGTCGCCCTTGTCTTTGTCGGTAATGCTATTCTGCCTAGATTAAATTATCTTTGTTCTTCAGAATTCCGCCTCTAAATACGCCGGTCTTGGCGAATTAAGATATCCCGATGACCAGAGGTAAAAAATGTCATACGATCGAGAGGTATCGATTGCTTCATGCCGATGTCATCGTCCTAAGCTATCATAGCAACCACCCCGTGGTGCACAAACGGAACTGGGTTAGAGCGCTCTTCGACCAGACGAGAACTCACTGTGGCGAGCCCGAAAGAAGAGTACAAGAACTACGGCATCTTAGGAACCAATTAGCAAAGAATGGCTATCCAAAGTATTTCATCAATCGCTGCATACGTACGCACTCGCGATGGACAAACAGAAGAGAGACACCAACGATTTGGCACTCGCTACCGTACATAAAGAATGTGTCCGAGGCCAATGAACGCATTGCGGTAGAGTTAAGCATCACCCACCGTCCGGCGGCCACCATGAGTACCAGAATCATAAATATGGAGGATCGCCTGGAAGCAGGTGAGCAACCGGGTGTAGTTTACCAACTCCAGTGTCATAACTGTCGTAGCCATTATACTGGTCAAATGGGAAGATGCCTCCGCTCGCGAATACTGGAGGACAAACAGGGCTGTTCATAGGGGCGACCCACTCTCTCAAATCGCCATTCACACCCTGGAGGAAGGTCATGAATTCGACCTCGCCAGCACGCGGATACTGGCGCGGGCCGGCAACAAGACGGGACGCGAACTGTTAGCGGCGTGGGTGTCCGACCCCACCTCCATCAATAGACACATTGTCTTACCCCCCTCCCCCCTATTATCACGCACTCCGCCCACGCACTCAGGTGGCCTGGCTCACATCGCCACCAAGGACGCAATCCCACCCCCCACCCTCACGGTACGACTGTATACTTGCTCACACGTTGTCGCACTCCAACAGTCTCTGATGATGAACTGTTAGAGTTCGAAAGCTTAGACAAATAAGGCTGCCGTCCCAGTGATCGCAGCTTCGTCTTCTCTTCAACGTGAAAGTGGGAGGCGCATATTCTCTTCCATTCGTTTATATACACAATCTTTACCGCTACGTCTTGACAGAGGATGTGGATTCTGTTGAAATTCTTCATCCCAGTTGTATGTTGCGGAAACAACGGGTATCAGTATACTCGGTAGATGTGTTTCCGTTGTTTGTCTCCCCAAACTAACAGTGGGCATGTGAGGGTCGATCTGTCCTTTTCTGTTAAAACCTGGTATAGTACGCGGGGACGGGGTCGTGTGTGGCACGCTTAGACATACTACTGAGCTCTGCCAATCACTTGTGCCCAATCCAGCACCAGATTACCGACAGACTCGGACGGTCAACTGATGCATCGGAGCGGGACGAGAGAGGGAGAGTGAGAAAACGGGGCTGACTCTGATCCTTACCGCTTCAGCGCGTTCCGCGCCGTAATAAATGTTAAGCGTTTAAGTCCATTAGAACGCGAAAAAAACCGTAGCTCTGAAGGCTGCCGACTTACCACTTAACATGATCGCAGCTGTTAGTACTTTGCTCTTGGAGGGATTTACTGGCGGACTGAGAGTCCGGATGCAGTGGCTCCTTCTTATGGCACTCCCACTCAGACGGCATAAGAGCTGCCCCCTGTTGTTGCTATGGCAACTAGGCCCTCTCTGCGCGGACCAGGTCGTATGTGGTGCGCGTAGAAGAATGGGTGCGACAGATGCTGCGCAAACCGCTGCCCGCAATGGTCGAACCAATAAGAGTAGGCAAAATCGAAAGCAATTGACAAAAAGCAACGAGGAACTGCTTTCTAGTAGAGAACGCATTATCCTAATGGCACACAGTATTGCAGGAGTAAACAACTGTACTTTGACACCTTCGCGAAGGCTAGGCTAGGAACTGATATTCTTGGCATGACTGAAGAAAAGGCGGAAAAGGGGACAGACATATACACTTTAAAGTAAAATCTTCGGGGAACATACAGTAGGTGTGCTAACTCATGAAATGTTGACCGAAATTATGAAATACGCTTTCATTTCGAAAAGGTTTTAAAATTAATCCTCCTGCAGCATAATTCTATAATAATTCAGTTACCTCGGGATGCCGGCTTTTGAACGAACTTCTTTTGGGCCGCAGGCCACGACCACGCTCTGTAAAGAACGACTACTTATGTAGCATGCATTTTTGTCATTGATTTTCGATGCCCTTATATATTCAATTTTATTTCATGGAAAACAAGCATAAAAGTATGCATTCTCTTACTCATTCGGGAGAAACTAACGTCTTTGTTCAATTTTATACTCGAAGGAAGGGTACAATTCGGTTTTAAAAGAATTTTCCAATTCCCGAATAATTTCAAACCCGACCTGCCGTTGCACTTGTACTCAGGGTTCCCAAACTACAAGCCGTATATTTTCCGCGTATGGAAAACCATAAATTTATCTATGGTATTAAGAGGATACCATATGGGGTTCATAAAATTTAACGGTGGATTTGAACCGTTTCACAAACTTTACAAGCAACATTAGTAAATGCAGAGACACGGTGTTTTATGAACGTCCATTTCACGGTATTAAAAAAATCTCATAATTAGAAACTTTTTAAAAACCAAATTATGCCATTTCTTCGAGTGTAAAATTGAAAGAAGACGTAAGTTTCTACCGAATGAGTAAGAGAATGAATATTTTTATGCTTGTTTTCCATGAAATATAATAGAATTTTTAGGGGATATCGAAAATCAATGAGAAGAATTCATGCTACTTATGTAGTTGTTCTTTACAGAGTCTGGTTTTGGCCTGCGACCCAAAAGAAGTTTATTCGAAAGCTGGCACCCTGAGGTAACTGAATTGTTTTATAATTATGCCGTAGAATGATTAATTTTAAAACTCCACTTAATTAATCTTTTCGAAACGAAAGCACATTTCGTAATTTCGGTCAACATTTCATGAGTTAGCGCACCTACTGTATATCGGTGCCGTTGAAGCATTCATTCAGCTTAATGATTAATACTTTGAGAAATAAGAAAGAGGAAGAGGGGGAGTTATTTCGAAACTGTCATTCGGTAGTGAGAGCGATCCTCAATCAGCATGACCAAAATGCAAACGACTTCGTGTCCAGAAAGAACAGCAACATAAAAAAGTATGACAGTCTAACACCAACCTCTGTACATCAGTCTCAGTACGCGTCAGATATCGTGTCAAAGATGATTCCGCATAAATAAGACAGCGAAAACTGCATGCGGTATGCGAAGGACACGTTTCGAAATGAAAATACTCTCCCCTTTTTTATTATCAACGCAGGAAAATAGCAGAACAGTAGGGGATAAGAGAGAATAGAAGGGGTGGGGGGGGGGATATACACTGTCAAGTTTTCCACTGAGAGGCATGGTAGAACCGTAGGCATTGAGTACAACAAACAAGTTTATGCATTCATTTAAAAGAGGATCCGAGAGTAAAAGGGAATAGGAGTTTGGAAGACAGGTAGCGGAAAGATGATACTTCAGTCGGGAAGAATGGTAAAGGATTCAGAATTGGGAGATGGTCGCTGTCTAGAGACCCTGTAACGACCGACCTTGTATGGGGTTTAGCGGTCCTTGTCTCGTTCGTATCTCTGTAGAGCGCCTGGGCTGAAACGTCCGGGTCTGGAGCCTCCTTCCCTTTCCCTTTATCTCGATCCTCGAGGCATCCATAACAAAATATAACACTCCAATCACACAATAATAAAAGCGATATAACAAGTGCTTATCGTAAGAGCAGAGGTGGAACGCAAACACGGGGAAGAAGGAAGGGTTGGTCAGTTCAAAGAAGCGTTATCCTCACAATTGTCCGGGGAGGGTGGAGTTGGGAGCTGCCAGGGGAGGCGGAGAAGGATTAATTTCTTCACGCACCTCGAATGGGAACAAAGGAAGGAGAGCGAAAAACAGTCTCACGTCAGGCACCTCTACACTCAAACTTGGCGCCACAGACAATTAAAACAAAACAGGGCTATACTTCTTCACGTCTGTCCGCTATAACTGACTTCCGGTTGGTAAGAAGATAAGCATTTTCCGACAATCATATTTCGACATGATCCAAGCCCTGCCTAAGACGTTTGGCATCGACCTCACTTTTGACGAGGTGATCGATTGTTACGTTAACGGCGCGTAGGCAGTCATTTGGCGATCTTAGACCATCAGTGTCATGCAAAAAGACTTCAGGAGATATCATGGGACCCTGAAGCCCTCCGCAGATACAAGGAGGTAGAATAGACTTCCTGACTGTTGTGCTGGATAAATTCAGCATGGAAAGGAAGATGATCTGGAAGCCAAGATATAATCCAATCGGGAGAGCCAAACCCGAATGTTTTATTAAACAGGAGGTAGCGTGTAACAGCACTGAGGACCGATGAGTAATCAGGAAATGTGCTTGCGTACGCATGACGACCCCCTGTCAAAGCCTGTTTGCATCGAGTGCGTCACCAGGGGTTCGAGATGATGGGAAAGTGAGAAACTGGAAGGCACAGAGATCCAAGGTACCGGAAGGGAGAGACCTCTCCGGGAGGAATGCCCAAGGAATCAGGATTGGCCGCAGTCAAAAGATACAATGAACTGACTTCTGACTATTGAGCAGAAGACCACTTTCCGACGACCATAGCGAGACACAAATCGTACTTCCTCCCGCGTACGCGGCCGTCGGGCGGCCTGAACTCTTCAGCGTGAAGCGAAAAGTGGCGAGAAATAAGGTGAAGTACTCCGCTTCAATTTGAGAGTTGAATAAACTTCCTGATTGTCCTGCCGAACAAAATGAGCACGGAGAGAAAAAGAATCTCGCAGCCAAGAAATAATCTAGTTGGAGAAGCCACACCCGAATGTTTTATTAAACAGGAGGTGGCGTGTAACCGCACTGAGGACAGATGAGTAATCAGGAAATGTGCCTGCATACGCACGACAACCCCCCGTCTGGGCCACCAGCGTAACAGCATCGAAATTACCAAGTCTGACTTGATGCGCAAATTGTAGATCTGAGAAAGAGAAGGAGAGTTTAGTTAATTTCAGAGGAGCCGATGAACAAGAGATGGGACAGAAGGATTTCCGGCCAAAACTATCAGAACTTTTATGAGCAAGAGTACTTTTAACGGCGCGTAACGCACCAAAAATCCTAGCTTCATTTAACGATATGTTAATACAAGCAGTTAAATCGGAGGTACAGAGAACAGTAGTAAGATATTCTAGAAGCTACCAACCCAAAACCTGGTTCAGCACAGTCCGTAAAGACATGGAGATGGTCATTGGATACTCGGTATTCGGTTGCCCTCGCTGGAGGAGGGGGACTTATCCGCCCCCTAACTGCCGCCCCGCTCCAATTGAACTGGCTTCTAGTTTACGTCGCTTGATATAGTTGTCCTCAGTTAGATGTGGTTATGTAACCGCGCCTGAGGTAAACAAACACCAGCTACCTGTATTACGGGACCTGTGGTAATAGAGGTTTTTAAACAGGCGGGACCGGTGAACGCACAGGTGACGAGGTCAAGTAGTTGTATGCAGAAGAAAAGCCATTGGGAATGCGCGGTTGTACTTTGAGTAGTTGAGAAATAGTTGTCCTAACCCCTACCCCTAACTCTAACCCCTAAGAGCATTGTGTTCACCAGGTGCAGCTACATAACCACATCTTATCATTGCCCTCTAAAGATAACTATTCACCTTCTGCTTCGTGGCAGTGTCCGCGCGCGGGAAGAACGTGCATCCCAAGCTATTCCAATATGAGTGTGTATGGCGCTCTGAAAGTTCCAAGCAACGTTGTCCCCCGAGAGAACCGCCGAAGGACCTCAAAAAGCCGGTCGATGTAGGATGGTCGGCTACCCGAAGGCTCTCAAACTAGGAAGCAGGTAAGGCGGAGAATCTTTTAATGGGGCCAAGAGTGTACAGACGGCACCGTCAGCAGTTCCAGCTGCAGCCGATCGACGAGGAGAGAAATATCGATCGGCATCAGGGCATCGCAAGCCCGAGGTCGAGTCACGCGTGTTTGGCCGGCCGGGGGCGACATTGGGAAAGCGGTGGCGCTGACGGCCATGAAAGCGAGCAGGTACAGGCCTCCTATTTCAATAATCAGCTTTGGGTGACAAACTCTTCTGTGCTAATTGCCAGCGAATGTAAGGTGTCAGGGGTTGCCTGTTTTTTTTTACAGGTAAAATGTTTTGTGAAAGATTTTTGAACAGGACACTGTTTTGCCCATTACGATGTCAGTGTCTTATTTTAGCTACTCATTTCAACAAAAAGTCACTAGCTTCGCACTACAGTAGGTGGGCTAACTCATGAAATGCCAACCGAAATTCCGAAATGCGTTTTCGATTAGAAAAGATTAATTAAGTAAGGTTCTAAAACTAATCAGCCTGCAGCATATTTCTATAATAATTAAGTTACCTCTGTATGTCAGCTTTCGAACGAACTTCTTTTTGGCTGCATTCAAAAACTGCACTCTGTAAAAAATGACCACTTATGTAGCAGGAATTTTTTATCATTGATTTTCAATGCTCCTAAATGTCCAATTATATTTCAGGGAAAGCATGCATACAAATATTCATTCTTTTGCTCATTCGGTAGAAAATTACGTCTTCTTCCAATCCTATACTCGAAGGAAGGGTAGAATTCGGTTTCCAAAAACTTTTCCAGTTTCCGAATAATTTTGAACCCGCTCTACCGTTTCACCTGGATTAAGAGTTTCCAAAGTACAAGTCGTATATTTTCCGCGCACGGAAAACCATACATTTCTCTATGGTATTGACAGGACACCATACGGGGTTTATAAAATTTGGCAGTGGATTTGATCCATATTGTTAACTTTACAAGCCACGTTCGTAAATGCAGAAACATGCCGATTTATGAACGGCAATTTCACGGTATTTAACAGTTCTACAATTTGAAACCTTTTAAAACCGAATCATGTCCCTTCTTCGAATATAAAATTAGAAGAAGACGTAATTTTCTACCGAATGAGCAGAAGAATGAATATTTGTATGCATGTTTTCCCTGAAATATCAGTAGACCTTTAGGGGCATCGAAAATCAATGAGAAAACGCATGCAACATTAGTGGTCATTTTTTACAGAGTGTAGTTTTTCATGCAGCCAAAAAGAAGTTCGCTCGAAAGCTGACACCCAATGGTAACATAATTATGACAGAAATATGCTGCAGGCTGATTAGTTTTAGAGCCGTACTTAATTAATCTTTTCGAATCGAAAACGCATTTCGGAATTTCGGTTGACATTTCATGAGTTAGCCAACCTACTGCATTTTTGTCAGTTCCATAGACTTGCATTGTACAGCCTTGCTGCATCTTTCTCGCTTTTGAAATTTAAGCCCTGAGATGCTTGTCAAGACAGCTAAATGGAGTGTTACATAATTGCCGTGTCACCGTAAACAAATTTTTGTGGTGTAACCTCATTGATATTCTATTGTCCGAATTGGACAACTCCGACTACATTATTCACATATATGAACGGGAAACCGTTCTTCTCCTAACATTTTAAACTGTCTTTCGAAGCCCAAAAGTTACCAGCAGACACAGGTTCTCTTGGGGAATTACATTTGGCTGGACCGCACAGACCCTACGGTCCCATTGTCTGGGGGCGTGCAGAGCTCTACTAAACTCCCCCGAAATGTCCACGAATATTAATGCGCCATCATTCTTGTGTGTGAGGGTGGTTGCTATGCGACAATCAGCCCGATGGTGTATTAAATATGCGCACTTTAATAAGGCGTCCTAGGTGCGTAAATAGTTTTCTGCATTCTAAAATACATCCATTTATTCATAGATGGCCGAAAGCAGACTTGAGTTACGTACGAATACATTTTTGGGGTTTATTACCATCGGACTCCCCGCCTCCCTCACAAGACAGGTGAGGTCTCCATGATCACATCTCGTTACCCATTCTCTAACACCTGGAGGGCACTGATATAGCGATGAATAGTGAAACATGACTAGGTGTACAGGAGAGATTAATTATTTCTGACTTGTTGATCTGGCTTTGTGATAACGTGAGGATGCGACCCAAATTAACTGATTATAGACAGGACGAGATCTAGCGCTCGAATCTTCGAAACGCAAGTTTTTCTCAGTAGAGCGCTCTTTATCTTACTACAGCTCAATCAGTCGGTCATTCCGGGTATTTGGAGTGTGTGCCCCCCAAACGGGCCACGTGTTAGGTGCGTTGGACCAACACGGGGGCCATATCGGATTCTGGCTGGCGTTATCGGATTGCGAACCATAACCAATGCCAACATTTCGGGGTGAGGTGGCAGGCCCGGATGTCGGCAGTCATCGCGCACACTGGGATCTCTGCCATCCCCCCTTTGTTGTTGTTGTTGTTGATCAAAAAACCTGGTTATTTGCTGTGTGGACCAGAGGATGTGGAGTGGAACGCCAAGGTGCGGGCTCGACCGTGCCATCCACCTGCGTCCTCTCCCGCCTCCGGTCTTCTTGACTCTGTCTTGACACAGGGACCAAGTGAGGGAGGAGGAGAGAGTGCGGTAGATGCTGCGCAAGTCCACTATCACTATAAACTAAATCACGTACAATTCACCGTCCCTGCTCTCACACTGCACACGGTGGACGATCAAACTATCGTATTTGGAGTGTGTGCCCCAAACGGACCACGCGGAAGATGCACTGGGTCAACACGAGGGCAATAGAGGATTCTGGTAGGCGTTATCGGGAACCCATAACACATTTCAGCATTCGGGGCTCGGGGGCAGGCTTACTCGCCGGCTCACGTCAGGCCAAGTGGGATCCCTGCCTCCCCTGTCCTGATCAAGTGTTTGTTCTGGACCAGAGGGTGTGATGGTACACCAGGGGACGAGCATTCGCCCTGCCAGCCACATGCGGCCGGCGTCCCCGCCTCTGGTCTTCTTGACACCGTCTTGACGCCGGATCCGGGTAGGTGAGGAGAAAAGAGTGTGTAGATGCTACGCAAGTCTACAATCACTATAAACTAATTCACACACTAACGTCACCTTGCCTCTTCTCACCCTCCTGTGGAGTACACGGTGGAATTCGTCGGTCACGACGGTCGAACTCTCGTAATTCGACAGTTGTTGGTTAAAATCCTGGTTAGCGTTTGTTGCGGACCAGGAGGTGGGACGGTACGCCTAAGTTCGGGCCCCGCCATGCCAGTCACCTGAGCCCTCTCCTGCCTTCAGTCTTCATGACTATGTCTTAGCACCCGGCCCAGTCAGAGGGGGAGGAGAAGAAGAAGAAGAAGAAGATGAAGGAGAAGAAGAAGAAGAAGAAGAAGAAGAAGAAGAAGAAGAAGAAGAAAAAGCGACACTATAAACTAATTCACACACAAGCCGCTGTGTCTGTTCTCACCCTGTTGTGGAGCACACGGTGGACATCGTCGGGCGCGACGGTCGAACTGTCGTAATTGGAGTAAATGACGGGGGCCCTTGAAAACCCCATTTGAACGATACAGGTCTGCCTGAGAAGCATTTGAGCTGCAAATATTTACAGGCATTCTTAGTGTGCAAAATGCATAAAACTGCTAGTGCCACGAAGGTGTTCAAAGGTGGAAAATTTACGAAATAACAGCGAACAACACATTCACGGCATTTTCATGCATTATGTTCATGAGGCAATCAAGTTTTTTCCGCAGTTATGTAAATTTTTCAAAACATCTAGTAATTAATTGAACCTGGTAGTCATCATTGCAGATGGACTGCTTAGGAAGTCCTGCTTGGGCAGTCAGCTTACTGTACCAAGTTTTGTGGAGTCCATATTTTACTGTAGACTGAGTGATTAACTTGACCTAAATGTGACTAAAGTCACGACTCGCGGTGGGGCCTCGTGGCTTAGGTGGTTAGAGCGTTGGCTACACTCAAACCCTGTCGTGGGTTCGAACCCCATCGAGGCCACCGAGTTCTCCACAATTGGGTCAGATGAAATTCTGTGTGCCAATCTTCATTTTCTGGCATTCAAGGTCTAACCGCCTTGTTGAACGCGAGGGGCGTCTAGGAGATGGGACACCGCTTGTCGTAAGGTGTGTCATGTCAGGAAGTGGTCAGGTGTGTGGTCGTCGCTGCAGCCTGTGATCTAAATAACCACCGGACAGTCAACTCTGGGAGGACTTAGAAGAAACTTAGGCGTTGGTTGTCTGAACTCAGCGAACCTCGGAGATTCGGTGCT